GCAGTGGGGAGGAAGGAGGAGCGTCAATAAAATAACAGAGCGTCGTTTTTCTTCCCTGGTTCTGTGGTGTTTACAAAATATTTCTGCCATGCCTGGGACACAGAGGGGCATTTTACACATCCTGGGGTGCAAAAACTTGTGAAATCTTTTAAATGTAGGAAGCTGAGCACTGAGTAAATAAGAGCACTGGGGTTTTTCCTGGTTCTGTGGTGTTTACAAAATATTTCTGCCATGCCTGGGGTACAGAGGGGCATTTTACACATCCCTGGCTGCAAAAATTTGTGAAATCTTTTAAATGTAGGAAGCTGAGCACTGAGTCGAACAAGAACATCAGGTTTTTTCCTGGTTCTGTGGTGTTTATAAAATATTTCTGCCAAGAAGAAATTTCTGTCTTGGAGGACAAGAGGACATTTTCACATCCTCAGGTGCACCTCAGTAAAATCTTGTGAAATCTTTTAAATGCTTTAATCGATATGTAGGAAGCTGGGCACTGAGTAAATAAGAGCACTGGGTTTTTTCCTGGTTCTGTGGTTTTTACAAAATATTTCTGCCATGCCTGGGGTACAGAGGGGCATTTTACACATCCTTGGGTGCAAAAATTTGTGAAATCTTTTAAATGCAGGAAGCTGAGCACTGAGTCAAATAAGAGCACTGGGGTTTTTCCTGGCTCTATGGTTTTTACAAAATATTTCTGCCATCCTTGGAGTATAAGAGGACATTTCCACATCCTCAGGTGCACCTCAGCAAAACTGGAAAAACTTATGAAATCTTTTAAATACTTCTAATCAATGTGTAAGAAGCTGAGCGCTGGGTAAAACAAGAACATCAGGTTTTTTCCTGGTTCTATGGTTTTTACAAAATATTTCTGCCATCCTTGGAGAACAAGAGGACATTTTCACATCCTCAGGTGCACCCCAGTAAAACTGGAAATTCTTGTGAAATCATTTAAAAAGCATCTTTTAAGTTTATTGAAAGTTTAAGCATCTTATTTAAGCATTTTATTTAAGTTAAAAGCATCTTTTAAGTTTATTTAAAAGCATCTTTTAAATGCTTTATCAATGTATAGGAAGCTGGGCACTGAGTAAAATAAGAACGTCAGGTTTTTTCCTGGTTCTGTGCTATTTACAAAATATTTCTGCCATGTTTGGAGGACAAGAGGACGTTTTCACATCCTCATGTGCACTTCAGTAAAACTGAATTAACCAAAAACTTGTGAAGGGATGTATTATCAAAATAAGTTATCCCTTCCTTACATGTNATTAAGTTATTCATATTTATGCCAATTTTTTTAAATCTTAACCAAGCCTTAAATCTTAACCAAGCCTTGAAGCTGCAGGATTATTCTAGAAATGCAGCCACATCCTTAAGAATAATTTCCAATACCTTTCTACATATACCTTAAGGAAAATGAATGCACATCCTGGATGTTATTTTCAAACACTTAAAGGAAGTCTGATAAGTGACTTTGGTGTCAAAATTATAGGAGCAGCCTTACTTTATAGTAATAATAACAGTGTTATAATAATAACACTTATAAAAATAAAGCCCTGACCTCTGGCTGAGGAGCCTGGAGAGAATAAGCAAAGCAAATGAAATTAAAATGTTGTAGCTCATACCTTGAAAGGTGCCAACAGCATTAGAGGAACCACTGGAACAACACAGCTGATTAAAGGCTACTAAAAAAGCAGTTTTTGGCTGCACAGCAAAGAATGATCTACATGAGGGAGAATCTGTGTTTTTGTGTGCCCTGCATTACCTGAGGGCTGTGTGTCTCACAGTCCATGGCCTGCACAGCAGCAGTGAAGTGCCCACCGCTGTGTCGATGCTGGTGCGTGGGGTCCGACCGCGCCCTTCCGCTGTTGCTCGTGCCAGAAGATCCACCTGGAAAACCCCAACGTGCTCAGTGACCCAAGGGACACAGAATTTACAGCTATCCAACAATGGCAGCATGGAAGGTTTATAAAGTGCTTCAAGGGAAAAGTGTAAGATTCATGTTAATCACTCCCATTTTTGCTCACCTTAGTTGGGTTTTTTGGGGGTTTTCTGTTTACCTGTTCCAGCTGATTAAAATAATTGTTTAGTGATCACAACTGGTATTTTTTGACAGTATGGAAAAAAAATTAACTAAAAAATTAATATTTCAGAGAATCATGGAATATTCTGAGTTGGAAGGGACCCACAAGGATCATCCAAACTCCCAACAATCCCACCTGGGCACCCCTGGCAGCGCTGTCCAAAGGCTCCTGGAGCTCTGGCAGCCTCGGGGCTGTGCCCATTCCCTGGTGAGCCTGTTCCGTGCCCAACAAACCTGCTGATGACCAAAACCCACCTGAGCTCGAAGATGTACTAGAGGTGGTTCCTGAAGACTGTGACTGCTCCATGGCAGGACTCGTGGACACGCTGTTACTCGTGTTGGTACCTTCGTCCGCCGTCTTCTTGAAGAAACTGTGCTGCAGGGCGTAGTAGGGCTGGATTCGTGTCTTGGGGTCATAGTCAAGCATCCTTAAGATGAGGTCTTTGAACTTCAAGTAGTCAGCTACAGTATGACCTGACTCCCCAGCACGGCGCCCGCCCGGCCCTCCGGTCTCCACTCCCAGGATATTGTGGAGTTTGCGAGTTGCCGGTGGTTTGTATTCCTGTGGGGAGGGAGGAATGGCTGGCAATCAGTGGGTGAAGCACAGATTTTGTACAAAAACTCAAATCAAAGCAAGAAACTGCTCAACGTTGTGGGATCTCAGCAGCTGAGGACTGAGGTGTCACCGAGAGCACCCTTGGGGGGCTCGGCAGTCCTGGAATGTTCCAGAAGTGTCTGGTGGCTGCACTTTGATCCCACACAGGAGACGACACCTGTATGAGGACAGGAGGGTTTCACCGGGGTGAATGGTGAAGGGAT